ATATCGAAAAAATCTTTGTAAGTTTTCTTCTCAAGAACAGCAATGCCATGATTGGTAATTTTTATATCGAATCATCTACAGATAGTGTAGATTCAAGTTTGTTCAAATTATAACCCCAGGGGGATCACACTGAAAGAACGAACGTGTAGAGAAAAGTCACAGTCAAAAATATATATAAGCTTCCTTAGTTATTGTACCTTCAATTTTGTTCAAAACATAACCCTCTCCTTTTCAGGGTAGGCTCGGACCACTTACGTACTTAAGCTTGTCAATTATAAACTTATTGTTGCTCTTTTTCTAGTCACAGTGCTCAGGTGAGCTCAGGTGAGCAATGTTTCTCCTTAAGCTTTTCTTCATTTGTATCTAGTACAAATGCATGAAAATGTACCCCAAAATTTTGTATGGAAACTCTTAAAAGCAGCAATACTTCAGTCAAAAATTCGTGGGAAGAATTATACATTATTGAGGAACGTGTCGTCTGACCTTAAATATACCAAGTGTAATATATTGAGATATTTCAAAACTGCTTTTTGTTTTTTCATGACCTGTTTCTTATTTTTATGCTTTATTGACCTTTCAGATGTTTCAAACGTCAAAAAATTATAATTATGTCCGGAAGGAACGACAACAGAAACTTCAAAATGGCTGCAGTCGCTTTCACAAAAACTACACTTCGCAGTCATTTCTTGAAAGACTGAACAATAATATACAATTATATGACAATCTTGGATTCTTGTATTGCTGAATTCAGAAAGTGGGGTCTACTTTTTTTGAGAAAGACATTGAAAACGTTATTTGCTGGACTGGAATATCAAGTTCTGCAAGGTGACCGTATCCTCCATAACCGAACAAGGGAATTTGAGGGGTGTCTATCGAAATTGCCAAAATTCATGTTTGTTCGTGAGCCATTTGGCAGAGCCCTTTCTGGATATGTAGACAAACTTTTTGCTCCTAATCCTTTTTACTGGAAATTAACAGGACGACATATTGTAAAGACTGTGAGAGGAAGAAATGCAAGTGACTCATCACTGAGATGTGGACATGACGTCACGTTTCCAGAATTCATGAAATACGTGATTATCTCCCAAAAAACATCAAGAGACCGTGATCGGCATTTTTATCCAATGTTTGAGCATTGCTTTCCATGCAGTATAAAGTACGATTTTATTGGGACAATGGAGACATTTAGAGAAGACGTTGCACACCTACTGGGTTCTTTTAATTCTCATTTTTCTGTAGCATTACCATATGATTATTTTGGAACGAAATCTGATTTGAATATCGCTCAAGATTATGTAGATCAATTATTTTATTTTAAAAAAGAAACAGAAGTATGTGAACCATTTCATAAATCACTTCTACGACTCTGGCGAGATTTCCAGATAAGAGGAATAATACCCATAGAAGTCAAAATGCCTTTCACGTCAGCAGAAAAAACAATCACAAAATCAGAAGTGATTGATAAAATTACTGATATCATTAAATCTGTTCAAAATCGTACAAAATTAAAAGAGCAGAGATTTGAAGCAAAAATAGAAGCTTTCAGTCAATTTTCTAAAAATGTTATAAAGGAATATACAAAACTCTTTAGTGCTGATTTCGAAATATTTGGCTATCCCAAAACCCCAAGTTTCATAAGAAACCAGACAATGACTCCCTCTAAAAGGTTCAAATACTTTAATATTTTTGACGCGTAATGTTGATTTCATCACACAGTTTTGAATTTGTGGTGATGTTTTACTGATTTATTAGGAGAAAGTAATCAAAAAACTGTTGAGTTATTTTATAAAAAAAACTTCAATCTAGTCTGATGGAAAGGGAAAAAATCAATTACCATAGAAATAATCTTGTTAACATAATCTGTTGTGTTTTAAAGACATTTGTAGCATTTGAGCATTTAAGCGAGAGGGAGATAGAGAAAAACAGAGAGAGTCTTATTTAATTAAATCGAAGACGATGAAATTACATTTCCTATTATATTTCCTATAATTTTTGAAAAAAAGGTTAGAATAATCAAATATTCTTCATTGCTAATTTTAGCAAGTTTATAGCCTATTAATTGTAAAATGTATATGTACGAGGGTTGATCCAAAAGTTCGTAGAATTTCTTTCTAAAATTTTATCGTTTTACTAGTAAATGAAAGCCAACAACAGGCATATTTATAATATAGAGTCATAATGCAACAACATTGGAAAATTTCACCACTTTCCAATTAGCAATAAGGTCACACGAGCTCTCTGAAAATAGATTGTTGTGAAACCCGGGGGAAACGTTAACTTCGACGTTACGTCAAGTTTGATATGTCACGTCACGTTATAGAAGCATCTCACCCTAAAATGTCCATTTCAAATACGTAATTCTAGTAAAATGTTTCTCTTTTCTCCATTTTTTTTTTCAAGAAAAGGCTGGGTATCCTCTCGCACCAACTTATCTTCATTTTGCACTCATATTTCAAAATACTCCCCATCTTTCCATATGATGTTCCAATTTCAGTAGCAATGTCAAGAACAGTACGTCAGCCGACAACGTCCATTTACGCTTTTAATTTGTCTAGGGGGTAAACACTTAAATCAGAGCCTCAAAAATGCGGTCACACCTTTTATCAACGTCCATGGACGTTCTTATTTTTCTTAAATTTCTTATGCCACAGGAAAACCAATAACCAAAAGCATTTTTCCTCGGCTTATGTCAATAATATACGCATTTATAAACTAAGTATTCAGTAAAATCAGAAAAACTCTCACACAAATGTTTATAAAAGACCAAGCAATCGTAAAAATGACATGATTTTCGTTTTATATACCACATTAGGCAGTTTTTTCTCATTTCACTTATTAAGAATCAAAATGATAATATACATGTATTCCAAACAACCGTTTCTATGGCAACTGCCATAGAGTTAATATAATAAATATTTAATATGTTTTTTAATTTAAAATGCCGATATTCTCATTTGTAATTTTCAAGTATTTTCACTTAAAAATAAATAAAATACGAAGAAATTCCACGAACTCTTGTATCAACCCTCGTATATCCTTCATCTGGTATTGGTACATATAATTTATTACCTCTGATGTTTTGAAGGTCTTTGTTTGCTCTGCTCCTATTTTGTATGATTTTATGGACTTTTGATCTTGAATAATGTTCGGTATCTCCATATGTTTCATGAATAATTTCTACAGAAAAAATCTAAAATATTCATTCATATATGTATACTTTTGAAAAGTCGACTTAAGATAGGTGGCAGAATAATCCACTGTACTATTGTTCATCGTTCTTTAATAATGAAAAGATGATCATATAGCATAATGAACTTCAAAAATATATATGATACAACACTTTTCTACCAAGTTTGTCAATCTTTTGTACGAGGCTAATATAATGTCAGTTAGAGTTATCATTCCTGAGACAGTTTAGCCCAGACGGTGCTGTCTTCAAATTTCTGTGTAGAATACATTTAATGTATGAATAATTTAATTAAATTTTGATGTCTTTTTAATAATCGCCTTTTTAAAAATTTTAAAAAAAATTAACACTAAAGAAATTGATTTTGGAAAATTAAGTTTTTTCCCCAAAATAATTACATAAAAATCACAACCCTCTGCTTTCTGGCACAAATGCCTGGGAAGGTATCTCAATTTTTTTGCGAGAATTAAAGTAGTAAAACGTCAATGACAACTGCAAAGTCAACACACTTCTCAAAGACAAAACAATTAGAAATTATAGTAAATAATAATTCATACCCAAATACATGCAAATATATGTGAAATAGATGGAATGTATCCTTATAAACGAGAGTTGTACATGTTGGAAAAGTTCGTTTGTGATGTCTATTTTCGTTATATGCTACTTTTAAGAAATTCAAAATAAGCACAATATCATGTGTAAAAAATTTATATTGCTGATGTCTGAAGTTTCATTTTATTCCAGTCCATCGAAATAAATTCATTTTAAAATAAAATCAACATCACACCTCCCAACCTTATTAATATTCAGGGTCATGAACCCAAGGGAGCATTCATTGCATCAGATATTTTCTTTAAACAAGGAAAGACAACCCAAGATTTTCTTTAATGGTATAGTCAGTTTCTTTTATTTATATACATTTGAATTGTGATAAAAATGGGGGGGGGGGATATTGTGAGATATGTTTTATTTCATTGAGATCACTTCTGGTCAAGTTTTATGTTGAATATGTTAAAAATTAACACAGTGTATTTTCAGTATGAAATACTGCATAGGTATATGAATGTGTTCACTAAATTTCTGTTTAATAAATACAGGTACCTGATTTCAAATAAGCTACATATCTGCAGCTACTAGTACATGTAAATATTTCTGGAAGGTAACTATCTACATAATCATAATCAGTAATTAATTTTCTCTGTTAACTGAATTCAACAAAAATAATTTAAACTGATATGCACAACATTTATATATCATGACTCATAATGAAAAATAGACAAAGTAAACAAACATCATACAATCATTTTTTTATTTTCAAGAAATTTACTAAGCACTTCATGTAGACAGACAATGGAATCTTCAACAACAAATAAGTTGTATATTACAGGCATATGTTATAATAAAAATTATGCTGTTTATAATTGAATTAAAAATTTATAAAATCAATATTTAGATACCCTTCACAAGATCTCCATATTTTGACTATTTTTAATGAACAAAATTAAGTGCACATGTACATTCTAAATATTTTTTTTTTTCGAATCAAAAATGTTTTAAAAAGTTCCATTTTTTAAAGGTAATCAAACTTATAATAAAATTCATAGTAAAAATATTCAAGTGTTTCTTTCTTTACTGATCTGGTTTAAAATACATGTGAAATTACAATATGTAATTCATATAGTTTAAGCATGCAATACCAGTGAGAGCTACATGTAGCTATTACCTCCCTTTTTTGCAAACATTTTCTATAATGTGCTTGAATTAAAAACATCAGTTTTAAGTTATAAATCTTATCTTATCATTTTATAACCTATGAAGTCACCTGCTTGGCACAGTGGCAAGAGCATCTACTAGAGAGTAATGAGTAAGGAGTTGATCCATAAATTGCTGGTTCAAAATCCCACAGTCAGACATAGATGAGACTGTATATACAGAGGTGCTGTGTTGCAGTAGGTGCTAGTACCAAAAAGATCCCTCATTGTTCAATTAGCCATGTGTGCCAAGTAAAGGACAAAATTTGCAGCTCTCCACCGACAAATGTTGGCATTCCCATATGAGTGAAAGTTTCTCAAGGAGAATTTTAAACAACGTACAAATAAACATGATCTATAGAGTCTTTGAATATGCAAATTCTTTTTTTTGAGAAAGGGATCCTCAAATGATGTTTAGATACGGTTCATAGGAGTAGAAAAGTACTGTATCATCCCAGCTAGTCTTCATGAATTCAGCAACCATTTGTTATATAGCCTGAAAAATATAAAATGTTAATGCATTAACATAAAAGTATATGATTGATATTTTTATAATTCTTAATTGAATCAATAAAATAGAGTCACACTTGTTATCTTGAAATGCTCATGGGACTGCTGAAAAAAACTGAGATGTCCAAGAGATTCAGGGTAATATATATATATATATATATATATATATATATATATATATATATATGTCATTCAAGGGACTTTAAAATGACTTTGATATCTCAATGTGTTCAAAATATCACTCAGTGTCAACTGTCAAAGATATATACCAAAGTTAAACTCTATACAGACTATTACAGAGTATATAAAATTCATATACATGTATGCCATTTACGGTGCTCATTCAATCTACCATTGTTCATTAATAGTCTGCATGAGAAAGAGATATGTGCAAACTAGAACTGCCCAAACGGGACAAAATACCCCTCGCTGGGTTTTTCAGAAGTAAGTTTTTCCATAATAAAGATATGTATCAGACAAGAATTATGAATTTTTTTCTTCCAGTGACCTTGAACTTCCCAAAATGACCTTGGGTCAAGGTCATGACACACCCTTGGGTCATGGGCAATCTTTGAGTGAAATGAGAACCTACCAAGTTTATCCATAAGAAAGATATGGACCGGACACGAATTATGAAATTTTTCTTCCAGTGACCTTGAACTTCCCAAAATGACCTTTGGTCAAGGTCATGACACACCCTTCGGTCATGGGCAATCTTTGTGTGAAATGAGAACCTACCAAGTTTATCCATAAGAAAGATATGGACCGGACACGAATTATGAAATTTTTCTTCCAGTGACCTTGAACTTCCCAAAATGACCTTGGTCAAGGTCATGACACATCCATGCATCATGGGCAATTTTTGTGTGAAATAAGAACCTACCAAGTTTATCCATAAGAAAGATATGGACCGAACACGAATTATGAAATTTTTCTTCCAGTGACCTTGAACTTCCCCAAATGACCTTGGGTAAAGGTCATGACACACCCTTGGGTCATGGGCAATCTTTGTATGAAATGAGAACCTACCAAGTTTATCCATAAAAGATATGTCTCAAACATGAATTTTGAAATTTTTCTTCCAGTGACCTTGAACTTCACCAAATGACCTTGGGTCAAGGTCATGACACACCCTTGAGTCGTGGGCAATCTTTGTGTGGAGTAGTAGATTCTAATGTCCCTCTGTAGGAAAGATATGGACCGGACACGATTGCACAGACAGACGGACAGACGGACAGACGGACAGACAGACAGACAGACAGACGGACAGACAGACAGACGGACAAGGTGATTCCTATATACCTCCCCAAACTTCGTTTGCGGGGGGTATAATGAGCAAATTAAAATAACAAAAGTAAATCATATATATAATACAATTTCAAGTGGTCGCAAATCATGCATTCATCCAATTTGTAATACTGTCATGAACGTCAACATAGTCCCTAGGTAGTCAAAGTTATTTTGATTTTAAGATATTGTTGTTTAACTGTACTTAATAATTAGACTGCACTGTATTCACTTGTTTCCCAACAGTACAGTACACATTTTTCACATTAATATTACCTGAAATCCATAATTATTATCATGATGAGAGTTATGCCCCTTTTCTATAACCCCAAAATATTGCTTTCTTTCTGAAAATTGTAGCTTTTTATACCTTACATAGATATCAACTAAAGTCTTCATAAAATAGGAATTTAAATTATGAAAACTTATATTATTTTAATCTCTACTTAACTTAAAAGCCAAGAAATAAACAAAATGATTTTCCAATATTTACATAGGACTTTCCAAGATAAACATTCTGTTTCTAATTATGGCACATCCATTACCCTTGACTCTGGGATTCTGTACTAGGATGTATTCATTCAAAAAACATGATGTACCAGTATCATGGCCCCACATGATGATATTGAATTTCATAATAAAAGGCTTCAGGCGCCTTAAATATTCCAGAAGAAAACTAACCCCCACTGTGGACCCACCCTATAGCTATATGATCTGAACAAATCTAAATCTGCTCTTAACTATCTCAGAGTGACTAATAATGACCTGCCTATTCTTGAAAAGATTTAAGATTTAAGATTTAATTTTTTGTCTACGGATTACTATTGTTCTCTTTATTTCATTGCTGCACACTAAATACACTTAGCATATCATCACCAGTAATCAACATACCTTCTCTTTGGACTTGACATCCTTTTCTAGATTCTCGTGGTTGAAGCTTTCATCAGATAATTTGTTTTGTTACAGCTGAACTACAAATATGATTAATAAGTTAATACAATCCTTTGCATTTAATTAATCCAAATAAAATACAAGCATTTGCAATAGTGTAGAAAGAAAACTGAATGAAAATTACTGACAAATCAATGCATGCACTACATGCAATTCAAAAAAAATATGTAATGCAATCATTTACAGTTTGCATAATATGCTGATTATGTATCAGCATAATTTTCAGTTCATTAAATTGTTTGCCGAAACAGACAAATAACTGTATTTATAAATTCTCTTCTATTTATAAATTTTCTTCTGCCTTTGATAAAAATCATATCAAACCACAAACCATGGGAGATCCTATATATATGTATTCTTTATGGCAAGACCTTTCATGGGATACCAAAAACTTTGACCTATTGACCTTGACCCTAAAAATGATATCTTGCCCACAAAGCGGGGGACCACAATTCTTTGAATTTGCTTGTTAACCTTGTTTTCTGAAAAAAAGTAAAAAATATTGTTTATTCATGGAAAAAATCGACAAAGAATAATTCTGAATGAAGCGCGTGCGGCGCATCCTTAGTGTCATTTCTTTCGGACTTTCTTCCATGTAAACAAACGAAATGCCTTTGATGCTGCATTATGATCATGTCATGCGCGGATCTAGTCAGGACCCCCCCCCCCCTGGAATTTACCAGGTTAGGAGTGCGCATGCGTTAGGAGAGAATGGACGTTTTTCTTGTGTACTGTGCAAAATTTGACTAATTTTGGACCTATACCAGATTTTGTGTAGGAATTTTGTGAAATTTTGTGTGTTCTCTAGCATTGCTATTCAAAGTTTGTTATTTCCGGGATGAATTAAATGTCCGAGTCAGAAAAGCGTCGTCGTCAGTCATCCGATGGGCAGACACCAAAACCTCAGGCAAAGAAAATGGCGAGTTCGACTGGGAATCCAGAAAACTCAGATTTAGATTTGACGGACCGGATGATTATCATTGGGCAGGCTATCGAGAATTTACAGAAAGGTCAGTTACAGTTACAAAAGTCTTTGGATAGTAAACTGGATAAATTCCGAAATGAATTTCTATCAAGTATTGACGAGAAACTCAAAGCTATAAAAAGCGATATTGACCTTGAACTTGGCAGTCAACAAAAACAAATCGATGTCCTGTCACAGTCCATCGACTCCATTCTGGGGCGACTTGATAAAGTTGAGAAAATAGAACGACCGGTCTTAGAAAATAGTTCAATCCCAATAGCCTGTGCAGGTATTGCATCAAGCACCGATCCGCTAAATGACCCGGAAGTTACAATAATTGCGACCAATGTTGAGCAAGAGGCAAATGAAAATGTTTTGGAAATCGCCAATGATCTGGTAAGATGTCTTCATGATTCGGTGAATGTAGTAGCAGCAGCTCGTTTAAAAAGTAGAAAATCTGGAAGGCCAGGGATAATTAAGATAAGTTTTTCAAATCTGGAAGAGAAAAAACAAATTCTGCGGGAAAAACAGACACTCAGATTGATAGAAAAATACAAAAATGTTTATCTTCGAGGTAGCAAATCACATACCGAGAGAATCTGTTGTTAAACGAACTCCAGATGGAAAACAGTACCGAATTACTGCTAGTGGTCGCATTGTCAAGAAAACGCAGACGGAAAAGAATGCACCGCATCATGTGCAGCACAACCTGGGGGATGAGGACACTGGATAGGAAGCGGCTCGGTCTATTGAACACACAATTAAATTTAGTCACATCAATGTAGGTGGGTGGACGGTTAACAACCATGATTTAAGGGTGTCCCTTATTGAACATATAAATGCAGACATAATAAGCATTAATGAAACTCATCTCAAAGATAACGAGAAATTGGACTTGAACGATCAGGGATATGAATGGTTTGGATACAACAGAAATTCTAAGCATATTCGTGCACCAAAAACATATGGTGGAGTAGGAATTTTGGTAAGGAAAACAATATTACAGCATTTTGTGGTTCGTGTTAATGACAAGTCATGTGAAGGTATCTTAGGGTTGGAATTTAAACACAAAGAATCCGACGTTCGGTTTGCTGTCTACTCTTGTTACCTTCCCCCAGAAAATTCTAATTGGGGACGTGATGCAGAAAAGTTTTATTCGCATATTTTGGCGCAGATCTATTTGAATTATGACATGGATGCCATATTTGTTCTCGGAGATTTAAACTCACGAATTGGACATTCCAAAGATTTTAGTTGTGAATTTGACAATATCCGCGACAGATGCGTAATTGATAATGTTTGCAACAAACATGGGGACTCATTCGTGGAATTCCTAAATGATAGTAAATTTTGTGTATTAAATGGACGATTCGGAGAGAAATCGAACCGATTCACTTCCATCTCAACCAGAGGGAAAGCGGTTGTCGATTATGCATGTATACCTCATGATGTTTTACCACATTGTACGGAATTCCAAATAGTGTCATGCGGGAGTATTATAGAAGAAAAAGGCATACAATCCGCTCTAGGAACTAAATGTAAATGTCCAGATCATGCATTTTTGGTATTTGACTATCAGTCAACATTCGCAACGTTTATAGATTTCCAAAAAGCATTTGATCTGGTAGACAGACAACTGTTACAATATAAGCTTAGGCTCAATGGAATTGATGGTGATATGTATAATGCCATTTCTAGCCTTTATCTATTGACTGAATCCTGTGTGCGTTTGAATAATTTTCATACAAGTTGGTTCACTAGTCAAAACGGGGTCCGCCAGGGAGATAATTTATCACCTACACTGTTCTCAATTTTTATCAACGACTTAGCGGTGAATATTAAGGAAACAAATATAGGAATTCCAATTAATGACGAAAAAGTTTCTTTACTTTTATACGCCGATGATATCGTGTTATTAACAGAAAATGAGGATGATATGCAAGTTTTACTGGACTTATTTTATAATTGGTGCTTAAAGTGGCGTTTAAATGTAAATATCGAAAAGTCAAATGTTGTGCATTTTCGTAAAGGGCGTCAACCGCGCACTAAGTTCGAATTCAGGTTAGGAAGTGAGAAATTACAGATCGTTCCACAATATAAATACCTTGGAATTATTTTTCATGAGAAGCAGTCCTCTTTATATGTTGCAGCGGAAACTCTAGCGAAGGCCGGAGGCAGGGCACTGGGTGGAGTGATTTCTAGAATACATTCTTATAAGGATGTTGGATTCAGAACATACGAAAACCTTTATGATTCCTGTGTTGTGCCAGTTCTTGATTATTGTTCGGGAGTATGGGGTTATAATGTTTTTCATAAAATTGATATGGTGCAAAATCGTGCAATCCGTTATTTTCTGGGGCTTCACCGATTTACCCCTTTATTTGCCCTTAACAGCGAAGTTGGATGGCTACCCTCTACACAGCGACGTTGGCTGAATATATTTCGCCTTTGGAACCGAATTCTTCAGTTGGAAAATGACAGATTAACGAAAAAAGTTTTCAATTGGGATTATAATATGCAGGGTGTGTGGTGTTCACAAATCAAAAATATTTTTGATAGTCTCAACAGTAGCAGTCTCTTTCAAAACCAGCAAATAGTAAATACCGAACACATGTACCAAAAACTTCGTCAATATGCTGAAAATGAATGGAAAGTGAAAATACAATCATCACCAAAATTAAGGACATATATTTCCTTCAAAGTTAATTGTGAAACCGAACCATATGTTGCATCTAATATTTCAAAAAACGAACGGTCAACCTTGGCACAGTTCAGGTGTGGAATGCTTCCCTTACGCATTGAAACTGGTCGATATAAAAGTGAACCCATAAGTTAAAGAACGTGTGTTTTCTGTTCTAGTTCCGTTGTTGAAGACGAAAAACATTTCTTATTACACTGTCAATTGTATAATAATGCTATGAAAAAATATTTTGATAGCGTGTACAAAGAGCACCCAAATAGTAATGATAATGATTATTTGTTCAAAGTTCTAAATCAAAATTACCAAATAAAGTTAGCCAAATTTGTACATTCAGCATATAACCATAGAAAGAATCTTCTGCATGTGTAAATTTATATAAATGTTATTAATGGAAAAAGTGACTTATAGGTCCAATGGGCCGGGTGCAGATTCAGTTTGACGTATTTTGTTTACACTGTATATTGAAATGTCTAAAATGCACAATGTCACTATAATAAATGATTACTTACTTACTTACTTACTTACTTTGAAGTTTGAACTTACATGTACTATTAGGCAGCAAGATAATGTGAGAATTTCTTCACCCATTCTTTATTATTGAAGTATCTGCTGAAAATAAAACAGAATGTGATTAAATCTTTTGAGAATTAAAAAAAAACAAAAGTCACTGATGCCTGATTTTTAATCATATTGACCCTTTTATCAATTTACATCTCTCTCTCTCTCTCTAACTATATATAAGTTTACCCAGGATTCTTTTATACATTTATATACCTGTACATGTAGATATTGGAGTAATTGGACATGCTTAATATTATTTATTTATTTATTCCAATCAGCATGATCAGGATGATAATAATTAAATAATGTTGCATATTAAATATGTTATAATTTTATCCCTACAGTTACATATACAATACTCACAACAGGCAAACCTTGAACTAGCACATCACTGTCTTCAGAGTATATCCTGCAAGAAACATTTGATCATTGCACATTACAAATGAATTGATTTGATTTCCTTTTTTAAACATTTGCTTTTTTGTTTTATTTTATTGAAATTATAATTTTTGTGCATTTAATACAGTATCATCACTATCATGTGCATACATATTGAAGACCATTTTTAAATTCAACCAACAAATTATCATTCTTCAAAAGAAAATTAAGACATACATTGAATACAGTAAAGATCAGTAAAGCCCATATTTTAAAAGTGGAGAAAAAAATATATTTTCTTGTGTGTATAATTTTAACATTAAATAAACAAAATATAACGATTACATTTATCATGATTATTATTATTATGGTTTTTGGTCAGTTTCTTTTTTATTAAATCTAGTAGCCTAGTGGGAAAGTGATATTATGATGATCTGACCAGTAAAAAGCCGGAGTGAGCAGTGAAAGAAATCTATTTCTAGCCTGGGCCTACAATGATTTCACATTTGTGCTTCATTATATACATTTTCTAAATTTAATAATGCTTGTTTATTTAACCTTATAGGGTCAATTGTGTAAATTTTTGTCATACCTTGAGATGGCTGTTCGAAATGTACTCTACAGCTGTACCTGCAATAGACAAACAAAAAAGAAAATTACTTTTCATTTAACACATTGAAATAATCAAACAATATGTAATTAAATACATGTATTCTTACAAACAAAAATGTAATGTACAAATATCTTTTCATTACACAGATTGATGCACGCAAGCATGTGATCTATTATACCCCCCACTTGAAAAGCGGGAGGGTATATTAAGTAATTGGTATGTCTGTCTGTCTGTTATGCTTGGTTGTACCCATCTCTTATCCGCTAATTCCTCTTATATACATGTACCACTGAGTGATATTTGAGGACTTTCACAGAATCTATATTACATATTGCAATTGTGCATCTTCTATTCTACTTTTTGATCTGCCACATATTTGGGGTTTCCCATAGAAAAACATGGTCACAGTCATTATATTCATATGAGAATTAGCTGTGGGTATCATTTAGTGTCAGAGCTGATTGCTCACAGTACCTCTAGTTTATACTTATACTATTTCAGTAGCTACTTTTAGATGGGCAATATACTTTGAAAGGGAAAATAGTGGTACACATAGAAATATTCAAAATTTTCATAAACTGCATATGTGCATGATTGATTGATTGTATGTTGTTTAGAATGTCCCTCTCGAGAATAATTTTCACTCATTTAGAAATGCCACCACTTGCGGGTGGATGGCTACAAATTTTGGGTGAGGGTCTTTGAGCAGGGAGGAATCTTTTCTGTGCCAGCACCTACAGCGACACGGGGCCTCGGTTTATACGATCTCATCCAAGGACCAGTCTCCACATCCCTCAGTGGGATTCAAATTAGCGACGTAAGGATTGACTCCTTACTTCCTGACTCTAGAGCAGACGCTCTAATCACTGTGCCATGTGGGCGACAACTGCATATGTGAAGTTTCATACCTGATACATACTTCACAAGTATGTGAGAACTTGTTAATATCATCTGATCATAAATTCTATGATATTAAATTAGAAAGGTTACAACCACATTTTGATCAGCTAGAAGGCTCTAAAGAAAACTGCATGATTGATATAAACAGCTGACACTATTAAAACTGCAAACAAATGTAAACAAACCTTAAATCCTTTATCAAGATACACATGTATATGTGTAGAGGAAATTCGGAAGGACTTCTTGTGCATACACACGAGTACGGATAGAATTAAATTTTAGTCTCATGGTATTTGAAAAAACACATATGGTCCTCACCATAGACCTATTGATAAGTAAGAATTATTACTTTTATACGCGTAACTCTGCATATGCATGCATAGTAGACTACCTTACAAGTAGGAACGAACTATAGCACACCTGCATTTTCTCTTCAATTTTAGACATGCAATTAACAGCATTTGACAAACATGCCCTAAAATATTTGGCCATTTTGTGCTAGAGGTAATCGAAAAAATAAATGAAATTCCACTTACGAGTGTTTTTGTTCACTAAATCAATGTATGTGGGTTAATCATGATCATCACAACTACTCCCTTCCACGTGGAAACATGTTTACAAAATCGAGAGGTGCTGTTTTGACACTTTAAAGTGAAATAGCACATGAAAGAATAAGAAACTGCAAACCTACTTTCACTTTTCAGGTAAAGAAACGTTTGTTTTTCAACTTTTTGCAATTTAGAAAATTTATAAATCAAGATAACATAAAGTTTTACCTTTTTTTTCATGTTGAATTTCTCTCTCGATTTTCACCTGTAACATGTTGGTCTCGCTGAATTCTCGCGAGGAAAGCTGTTCGGACGTTTACGGATATTGTTCATATTTCGTTACGTTTACCTCCGAATTCTTCCGATTTATGCTAATGAGGTTAGGAGGTGTGAACATGTTTTGTAACCAAGGAACACACTTAAAGGTAATGTAACGTCAAAAAGATAGCGTCAAGAATTTCTCAAAGATACCCATATTTATTTATTATTTTTCTTTATTGTTCCAACTATCTGATTGGCTCAAACTAAATCACATGATCAAGCATTAAAAATGTTACAGACTGGATGTTTCTATTTTAAAAATTTATAAACCTGCTGTTTTTAAAATTGGAAACGTCCTTTGTGAAGCAACAATAGTGCTGACGTCACAATAGTCTTTATAAACTGGATGTTTCTAAAAACAGATACTGCAGCTGATTTTCATTATTGTACATTGTGACGTCATAATGCAAATGACATAAGAATGCCTTGTATGAGAAGGTACCGAGTACTAGTATTGGAAAGAAGGATTTTCAGACATTTCTTATTAAAAGATAAAAAATGATAAACAATAGTAGCTTTTTGCACTTGTTTTGATTCCGTACAATCCCTCGACAGAGACATGTTAATTAACTTTCTTAACACTTGACTTCAATGTTGGTCTCCTAGCTGCAGCTGTCCTGGTACATGAATTGATGGAATCTCTTCTCCGCCTCTCTTCTCTCCGCTGATGTCTCGCACTCTCTGCCATTTCCTCTAGCACCAACTTGTTTTCCTAATCCCAGTATTAAGCATGGTAAGCCGCTGACCATTCTCTTTTGATGATTTAAGGAGGTCTTTTAAAACGCTCCGAGTTTCCTTCATGATTTCCACTTTCTCCTCTTCACTACTCTCTGTAGCGAATTGGTCTTGCTCGTTCTGCTGTAATATTTCATCCAGGATGTTAAAATCTTATCCTGGTAGTTCCAACTCTGGCAGTACTGGTCTTGGTACAATAGGCTGCTTTTCTATTAATGGCTCCGGCATCATTGTGAGGATGTCTGGCACCACCGCGTCCTTACTGGCTTCCTCTTCCTTGCTCTCCTCTACTTCCTTGCTCTCCTCTATTTCTTTGCTCTCTTCTACTTCCTTGCTCTCCTCTTCCTTTGCATCTCCTGTCTTTGATCTTTCTTTCCATGTATTAAGACTTTCCTCCCAAGATAATTTCTTGACATGCTCTTCCTTCAGCTGAAGGGGGTGCTCATTTTTTGTGTAGGTAGCTAGTAATCTCTTTAGGTTTCTTCCCTTGTTGTACAAGGTTCTCTTCTGCCAACTTGTGCGGCCGATATCCCTTGGCGTGCCTCATCACTTCTCTTTCTGTTTTTCCCATAAAATGTCACAAACTGCAATAATATGGTACGGCGTCCAAAGCTGTATGATATTTATAGTAATGTGCCTCTACATATCTTTTCTTTCCCCCATACTTATGACATCCTTGGCACTGGTATGCGTATCCTCTTTTATCTAACTTGTCCCTACTTTCGCTATCAATCATTTCTTTAGAGTCTGAAACAAGTGTAATAAATTTATAATTTGGATTCCTAGTTTTGACTATTCTAAGGTATTCATGATATATTGCCAAAGAGTGAGGACTGGATGGGCCACAAAGGTTGTGTTTTACATCTAATACAGTTTTTCAATAAATGGTTTTAACTTGTCATGATGCACGATTTTATATTGTATTTTGCCCTCTTCACTTTTCATTTTAATTTGGTAGGTTAAGTCCGAAAGTTTTTTTGTGATGACATATGGCAAGTTTTCCATCCCCAATCCGCTCCTGTATGTACCACACTTTATTCCCAGTCTTATACATGTATGGATGGACATTCAAGTCATAGTTTTCCTGTTGTTTAATACAAGATTCTTTTTAATTTTGTACGAGCGATGTCATTCGCTTTTTCTAAATTTTCTTTTAAGTTTAAAATGTACTCTCCATGAGTCTGAGCTGGATTGTTGGAGCATCCCTCAACCATCATATCAATGAGCATCCTCGGTTCACGACCTAGCATCAGAAAATTGGGTGTCATTCCTGTGGTTTCATGTATGCTCGATCTGTAAGCTGAAGTTATGTAACTAAGTTGTTTGTCCCAATCTGTTTCTTCATCTTTGATGTAACGTTTAATCATAGATATGAGAGTTCTATTGAAGCGCTCGGTTTTTCCATTGCCTTGAGGATGTCTTGGACGGGTACGGGTCTTTTTAATTTTGAGCATCTGACACATTTCCTGAAATAATTGACTTTCAAAGTTCATACCTTGGTCGAAGTGAATAGTCGTTGGACAGCCTAGTCGACTCAGTACTTCATTAAATAGAGTTTGGATTACGGTTAAAGCTTTTTGATCTGGAATGCCCATAGCCTCTGCCCAGTTAGTGAAATGATCTGTCACTGTAAGGATGAATCTGTTTTTCCGAGGTGTTATAGGTAGAGGTCCTATAATATCGATGGAAAGTCTGTCCATTGGCGCTCCTACAAGCATGGAACCAAGTTGTCCTTTTGGGTTCACATTTAACGTTTTGGTTCTTTGACATTCCTGACAACTGGATACATGTATATTTACGTCTTCCATCAAACCATACCAATAGAAATTTCTTTGGACTTTGTCTTGAGTTTTCCTGCGACCAAAGTGTCCTCCCAACGGTGCATCATGGGCTTGCTTTAGTATCTCCTTCCGGAAAGATTTAGGGGTCAAAATGTGAAAATACTGTTGATTCATCTCATTTTTATAAGCTTGTTTCACTAGCACTCCATTGGATAACTTCAGTAAATGAAAGATGTGCCAGTAGTGCCTGATAGCTGGAGACATAATTCCTATGGTCTTGATGTCTGGTCTTTGTTCCTTTTCTACCCACTCATAGACAGTAGTTAACTCGGGATTTTTTAATTATTCTCTCTTTATATTTTCGGTGGTGTAGACTGGCTTCCATTCTGAATTTTCTAGGGCTGTGTCTTGTGTCTTTACGCTGACTCTGGTCCGGACAGCTCTTGTGGAAGGACAAGCGTTATCATTGACTGTCATTCCAGCCATTCTTTGTATACACTTCTTGCATGGTCCACACTTTAAATTTTCTAGGTTGTCTGTGTCTTCACACTGACAGTTTGAAGGGTTTATGCATCTGCTCAGAGCATCGGCGTTCCCATGCTTCTGATCAGGACGATGCTGTATTTCGAAAACATATGCCGATACTATTTCAAGCCATCTTGCTGTGCGGTCCCTTGGCTCCTTTAATGTAAATAGCCAAACCAATGCCTGGTGGTCTGTCCTCACTAGAAATTTGCGCCCTAATAAATATTGTTTGTAATATTCAACAAAGTGACGAACTGCCAATAATTCTTTGTCGGTAATGCAATAATTCCTTTCTGACTTTGTAAGGGTGCGGCTGCCAAAACTTATGACTCTCTCCCTCCCGTCTTAAACCTGACTAAATACAGCTCCTATGGCCTCTCCACTAGCATCAGTGTCTAATATAAACCCCTCGTTATCTCTCGCATAAGTCATAATCTCTGGACCAGCTAAAATTTGTTTAAGAGTTGTAAACGCATTTTTGCATTCGGGGTCCCTGACAAAATCCATATCTTTCTTACTAAGTTTTACTAATGGGCTTGCTATTGTGGAGAAATCTTTGATAAATCGTCTATCCAAGTAACTGTCTTATTCAAGTTATATTTTCAGGACGAGGCCATTGAAAAATCTTGGCAACGTTATCTGCACTTGGTAAAACTCCATCCTTAGATACCACATGACCTAAGAAGTTTACGCTTTCTTGTAGTAGGTGACACTTTCCTGACTTTAGTTTTAATCCTGATTTCTTTATCTTTTCAAGGACTTCATTCACCCTTTGGAGATGTTGGTCAAGAGTATTTCCATACACCACGATGTCGTCCAAGTAAATGATACAGGTTTTCCAGTTGAGCCCTTGCAATACTAGTTCCATTAATCGCTGAAAGGTTGCACTTGCTGTACTTAGTCCCATAGGCATAGTTCGGAACTTGATGATAACCAGAAGTGATGTCAAAAGTGGAAAAGTAAACTTAGCCTCTCACCGCATTGAGACAGTCTTTAACTCTCGTTAATGGAAATGCGTCTGCTGTTGTGACGGCATTTAGTCTCCGATAGTCTATGCAAGGTCTCAGTTTACCATTTTTCTTCTTCACAAGTACTATGGGACTGGCTCAGGGTGATGTTGACTTTTGAATAATACCCTGATTTTGCATTGTGTCAATTACTTTCTTTTCTTCATTTTCATGCTAATTTCAAACCAAGTTTGCTAATCTGCAACACCACGTGTTTTGCGCTTTCTTATATAAGTTGTATTAGACTGCTGGTAATTTTGCGTCCGTGCTCAGTTCGACTGTCTCCAGTATTTCTGGGTCGATGCCCAAGTTGTGTGTTTCTACCAAACACATTCCGCTTGGCCTAATGCATCATCTTGGTGGAGATACAATTCATGATTTGAAGAATTTAATGCTCTCAGAGGTACAGAAACTTTATTTCTACTGTCGACTAAAGTCGATGCCACAGCTACAGTGTTCTTATTTGTATAGGATGGATCTGGTTCTATAAGATACACTTGTTGTTCAAGGTCAAATTCTTCTTCTGGTCTAGAGATCATGACTTGTATTATCCTTTCACTCTTTGC